GTCCCATGCACTATAGGGATGTTTAGCAGCACCTCTGGCCTCTACTCACAGTAGCACATCTGCAGTTGTGACAACCAAAAATGTCTCCAGACAGTGCTGAATGGCCTTGGGGGGCAAATCACTGCTGGAAGAGAACCACTGCTGCAGACAGAAACCTCCTGCTGCAGACTCCCACCTTCCCTGGCCTGCATGCCCACTCTGCCTGCTGCCCAAATCACGCTCCTCCATGGAGAGCCGTCCCTTTGCTAGCATCTCTGGACGTTGTTTATATTTCTGGGAATTAGATACACTGGAGTTCTGCACATTATTGTTATTTACTAGCACTTTGAGGACAAGGGCCGTGTGCACCAACAAAAGCGGAGCTAACATTCAAAGACCAACTGTTTAAAAAGAATAAAATCAGGAAGGAGAAAATGTGACTTAAACAAGTGCTCCAGGTTAAGATTTTCTTCCGTACGAAGGTACATTCTCCAGTATCCTAGAGGAAATTTTTTTCCCTAAGACAATCAATAGAGAATAATTCAACATATTAAGAGTATACTCATTTTATTCTCTATTGACTTCTTACCATTTCCACACTAAGCAATTAAAAACACGAAGCATGGGGCTTCCTTGGTGGCGCAGTGGTTGAGAGTCCACCTGCCAATGCAGGGGACACGGGTTCGTGCCCCGGTCCAGGAAGATCCCACATGCCGGGGAGCGGCTGGGCCCGTGAGCCATGGCCACTGAGCCTGCGCGTCCGGAGCCTGTGCTCCGCAATGGGAGAGGCCACAACAGTGAGAGGCCCGTGTACCGCAAAAAAACAAACAAACAAACAAACAAAAACATGAAGCATGTATTTTACAAGACCAATGCTCTAACCCACACCAGAGCTGAAATATATACTTCATAAGTAAATTACTCAGAGCAAAGTGAAATTACTATACAATATTCATAAACACCATTCATAACTATAACTATATTCATCAATCTGGCTTCACTTTAACTCTCAATATTCATTTCTGCTTACTCTTGGCAAAAGACTCAAGATTTATCAGCCAGGGTTTTGTATCACTGTGTAAATATTAAAGGTTTTTATATCAGTATGTAAATATTAAAGGTCTTTATATCACTATGTAAATATTAAACAACAAACAAAATCAAAACTTTCACATTATCTAACCCTAAAGTTTAACATCTTCTACTGGCTATGTAATACAGACTTACGGAGAAGATAAAAGTATAACCCAATTTTGTTAGAAGCCATGATAATCACAACATAATTAATTACCTGGACTAGGAATCTGGTCACGATATTTTGGAACCTCATCGTTCAGAGTCTGAAGCATAGCCCACATTGTGAATGTAAAGAGTGCAGCCAGGAACCCATAAAAGACTAGGTAGAAGAGCAAGATCAAACCTGTAAAAGAAAATAAAACTCATAAAGTTGAAGATATACACA